GAATACTTCTAGTGCGAAGATCTCTCTGAAACTTTCAGTATTTCTCAAAACATCATTTTGACAGACTGCTATGCAAAGCGTACCAGGCAATTCCTTCAATCACAAATATCTCGACTTGTATTCCAGATAGATGGGTATTTTTTTTGTTATTGTGAAGATTTTCAAAAGTGTTTTTGTTGAAAAAGCATGAAATCATTTAAACATTTGTGTGAAGATTTTCACAAAACATCTCTGTAGAGAGAACAAGAAATGGTAAGATTCATCATGTATTTTTGTGTTGAGAGCAAAAGTAAAATGATTTACAGTACGTGAAGATTTTCATGACTTGCATTTGTGGAGAAATGGTTATGCGCGCTCATGTAATGTTAGGCAGTTGCGAGCGCCTCAAAATAAGATAAGATAAGATAAGATAGTACTTTATTATCCCAGAGGGAAATTTTTTTTGGCTGTACAGGACCGTAAAAACACATGCAGGTATACATAAAAAAATTTAAATCATATATATTACTCTCATTAAAATTCAATATGAAAGGAGAAATAAAGCTGACAAAATGTACATATCAAATGCCTCATTCAACTTCATGCAGGAATTTAAATACTAGACCTTTGGAGTTATATACAGATACATACTCTAAGAGCAACACACATCTATGCTCATTCTGAGAAAAGCCTTATGCTAGATGGTAAAAAACTTCTTTTATATCTTTCTTTCTTTGTTTTTGGAAACACTTACCACAAAAAAAAAGAAATGATAAGATCCTAATTTATCAGAAGATAATTCATAAAGTATTTTTGTAGACAGAGCAAATGGAAAATAATTGACGTAAAGATTTTCATACAGCGTTGTTTTTAAAAAAAATTGTGGTTGTTTCTGTGTACAGAGTGGTCCGATCCTCTACTCCGCGGCGAGCCCAGTCAGAATGTCGTGTGGTATCTGGTCACCGACGCGGCCCGGCGTGTTCTTCATCGCCAAAGTGGACGGCTGCATCGACGTGTGGGACCTCCTGGACCGCACCCACGAGCCCACGCTGACACAGAGCGTGTCACCCACCTCCATCACACAGATCTACCCCTTCCAAGTGACGCGTGAGTTGGGCCGGGATACATCGGAAGAAGAAGAAAAAGAAGAAGAAAAAGAAGAAGAAGAAGAAGAAGAAAAAGACAAAGAAGAAAAAGAAGAAGAAGAGGAAGAAGAAGAAGAACAGAAAGAAGAAGAAGGAGAAAAAGAAGAAGAAGAAGAAGAATTAAACTTGTACTGTAATAATGATAATAATAAAGAGAAGAAGACGAAGAAGAATTATCATTATGATCGTAATAATAGTGATAATAATAATGATAATAAAAATAATACAATTTTTGTAATAACAATACTGTAATGATAATAATAATTATTATTATTATTATTATTATAATTATTATTATTATATTTTTTTAAATATTATTATTATTATTATTAATATTATGATAACTATAATAGTTATTGTAATAGTAGTTTTTCAGTCAATGTACTTTTTTCAGAAGGGTTTATGACTCAGGACTGATTCTGTTATTTCTCTTGAAAGCTTTTAAACATAGTCTACTTTTTGCACATCACTAAATACAATATTTCTGTGATTTCAAATTCGTGATATTATTCATTTTTTTCGTTGTGGTCTTCATATGGTTGTTTGTTTTCTATACTTACTACATTACAAGTACAATTTACATTGAATTTTAGACTTTTACCTTTTGAGCCCTAGCCATCAGTACACCGGTAGTACGTAAAGTTACCTGTATGCCTAGCCATCAGTACACTGGTAGTACGTAAAGTTACCTGTATGCCTAGCCATCAGTACACCGGTAGTACGTAAAGTTACCTGTATGCCTAGCCACTGATACAACGGTGAGCGAGACCACCTGAGACAAAACGCGTACCAAAAACAGTGGTTACTACACATGACCCTGATTATGTTGGAGATGTTTCTGAATCAGATGCTGGTAATGACGAGGACTACCCTAAGTGGGATATGGAATGTGATTCTGTCCATGATATGAATGAAGGTGTGAATGAAGGAGCTCGGGAAGAGGGGCACGGTGGCTTAGGCGTTCAGGGCTCAAAGGATTAAGACACAATAGAACTGTGGCTAAACGTGAGCATTTTGTGGATGCGTTACAGAGAAACAGCAGCTGATTGCCGTGGGAGACAACGCTGGCACGCTGCACATCCTGGAGATTCCCTGGAGCTTGAGGCAGCCCACGCCCACTGAGGTAAACACAACAGTGAACTCTTGTCGTCATCCTCATCATCATCGTCATCATCATCGTCATCATCATCATCATCATCGACTAAACAATTCCTCTTTTTCTTGTAGTGTTTTTCTTGTTTTTTGTTTTTATTTCTTGAAACATAACACTTTGCACCGGGCCAAAACATTTTTATGAACCTACACGACGTATCGGCACCAAAATCGGGACACGAGACAAAAAAAAAATTTTTAATTAAAAAAACAGTGAACTCTTGTTGTTGTTGGTGTTTGTGGTTGGTGGTGGTGGTGATGATGCTGATGTTATTGTTGTTGCTGTTGTTGATATTATTGATTTTGCTATTGTTGTTGATGCCATTCACAAGTTTTTTTCCTCGGGTTGGAAGAGTAAATTGTATGTTCGCTGTTCCTTAAGTTTATTAAGTATATTAATCATATTCATTGTGTTCTGCGCTTTAATTGAGAAACATTTAGCTTAAGGTATCTGCTCAAGCTGTTGTGTTCTTTCATCGCAGTTAGTAGAAATTGTTCAATGTGGGTGGTTGGCGGGTGCTCTGGTATGGTTTGCTTATTCTTTCCCATCAAACGTCTATCATCCGTATCTCTCCTTCTTTTTTATTGTGTTTGTTACTCTTATGTGACACCTCTAATCTGTGGCACTTATATGACCTAATTGTGTTGCAAGTGCTGTAAAACTCTCTCTAAACTAAACTCTTAAGTAAATGGGCTCAAGTTAACACTGACTGCCACACATTTGATATTGTATAGAGTTTTTAATTTTGTAGTTTCTCGGAGCTCTAAAATGAGTGAAGCATTGGTTGAAAGAAACTCTGTTATGTAATTATGTCTTGTTTTTAAATGCTGTATCCACTCCCTTCATCAGACAAACGGCGTTGCCAACTACATTGAGAGGGAGGTGAAGAGGCGAGGGTTCGTCGTGGAGAGGTGGAACTTCAGGGAGAGAGAGAAGAGAGAGCTGGAAGCTGAGGCCAAGAAAAAAGCCGGAGGGGTAAGAAGCTGGAGACAAACTTGTCTTGTTTTTGGTGCTTCGAAGACACGCTTGTCGTTTTTTTATGTTTGTGTAATTTATCCTTTAGAGTGTCATTTGGAACAGTCTTAGGTGGCAGGGCATTTTGTGTCCTCCAGTCAAAAAAACACCCTGTGCTTCTCTTATCTTCTGTCAACCAATCAAATCACAACTTGCTCAACCCTCCATCTCTTTCCACCAATCAAATCATAACTTGCTGAACCCTCCATCTCTGTCCACACAATCAAATCATAACTTGCTGAACCCTCCATCTCTGTCCACCAATCAAATCACAACTTGCTGAACCCTCCACCTCTTTCCACCAATCAAATCACAACTTGCTGAACCCTCCACCTCTTTCCACCAATCAAATCACAACTTGCTGAACCCTTCATCTCTGTCCACCAATCAGTATTCACATCCCTCCACCTCTTTCCACCAATCAAATCACAACTTGCTGAACCATCCATCTCTGTCCACCAATCAAATCACAACTTGCTGAACCCTCCATCTCTGTCTACCAATCAAATCATAACTTGCTGAACCCTCCATCTCTGTCCACCAATCAAATCACAACTTGCTGAACCCTTCATCTCTGTCCACCAATCAGTATTCACATCCCTCCACCTCTTTCCACCAATCAAATCACAACTTGCTGAACCATCCATCTCTGTCCACCAATCAAATCACAACTTGCTGAACCCTCCATCTCTGTCTACCAATCAAATCATAACTTGCTGAACCCTCCATCTCTGTCCACCAATCAAATCACAACTTGCTGAACCCTCCACCTCTTTCCACCAATCAAATCACAACTTGCTGAACCCTCCACCTCTTTCCACCAATCAAATCACAACTTGCTGAAACCCCCGTCTCTGTCCACCAATCAAATCACAACTTGCTCAACCTTCTATCTCTGTTCACCAATCAAAATCACACTGTTCTCTACCCGCCACCTCTGTCTACCAATCAAAACTACCCTATGCTCAAACTTTCACCTTTTTCTATCAATCAAAACCAAACTGTGCTCAACCCTCCACCTCTTTCCACGAATCAAATCACATCTACTGAACCCGCCATCTCGGTCCACCAATCAAATCACAACTTGCTCAACCTTCCCTCTGTGCCCACCAATCAAAACGACTCCTGATGCTGTTTCTCCCTAGATGGCAGCAGCAATGGCTGCCCCGACAGAAGAGGAACTGGAAATCCGAGCCAAACAAGAGTACCAAACGTATCTGGATGCCGAGCGTATCTGGATGCCGAGCACAACTTCCTGCGAGAACTGGGCATTATACAGGATGACGATGTGACAGCATAGGTTGGGACTCCAAATTTTTAAAATCACAGTCTGGAAGTAGTAGTTTCTTTTCCAATTTTCATTGAAATTATTTCAACTTGAAATATTTCATCTTGAAAGAAGACGTTTTTTGGAGGGTTTAATTTGTCTGGTCTGAATTTAGTGAAACATGCTTGCTTAGGATAATCAGTCATTTCTTTTGACTGGGAGCAAGTATTATCAGTTAAAATTAATATCTGTCATACTTGCCCCAGCATTTTGGTTTTTATATAGCCTATAGAATGTAAGACCAGCAGAGTATTTCTTAATGGTGTTTCTTCTGTTTCTGAACATCAGAGAAAAGACATTGTGGTCACCCTTCACAAAGATAGTACATAACAAGATGGGCCACTCAGCCAAAAAAGTGTCCGCCGGAAGTCCGCTCTTTGCTTCAGATGGCGCTGCAGTCTGTTTTGAAGCTCTCTTTCGTTTTTCCAGAAGAAGAATAGGAATAGCTCCTCCTTGCGTGCGCAGATCGACTGCTGTTCATCAGCAGTTCGAGTTCGTTCAGTGCGGAGTTTTAGGTCTTTTTTATTTCAATGAC